AAGATACATTTTTACAGCGTAGTTTTTCATTCAAAAACCCTTTTTATACTCTAGTGCCAAGATATGTTTTTTGCTCTTGTCACTGCTGTCTTCCCAGCACTTAGCACAGTGCTGGACATGTACTGAGCACTGATGAAATAGAGTTGAGGAGCAAATTTGAGATTAAACTGTAACTGTCAGCAATTTTTAAATCACTTAAAAATAAGTTTTGATTAATATTTATTTAGTTTGGAATATTGGCTTTTTAAATCTAACTATGTGTGAAGACAAGTTGCCATTATACAAATATAATTTTAATGAAGACAGTAGCTTTTTCTTTAGTTATTTTTATACTTGTATAAGGAAATAGCTTTCTAAATGAATGAATTTTCCTGCTGTATTATTGTCTGCTACTGAATTCTGACTGCAACTTCTAGAGACCTTAAAGACAGAACTGTCCAGCCAAGGCTTTCCAAAAATTCTGAACCAAAGAAACTGTGAAAGATAATAATGTTAGAAATGTGAAGTTTTGTGATAATACAATATAAAGAAAGACCTTCATATACTTTACTTGAAAACTGTTCATGAGTGTATAATCCTGCATTCTTTACTTCTGAAAAGTAGTGAAGTATTTTAGAAGAAAAAGATAAATCAGGCCATCATAACCACCTTTCCTTAATCAAATATAAAAGGATGTATTTAGCCTTAAAATATTTTTATAATTGTAAATAGTTCATTTTCATTATTAAAAAACAATGCAGAAAGGTAATCAGAAGAAAGGTGTAAAAAATCACCCTAAATCTTGCTTTTGGTGACTGTCCTTCTGAAATCTGTTTATGTGCATAGGCAATTTCATACCCTGATCCCTTCTTCTCCACAAGTGAAATCATACTATGTACATGTATTTCAATCTTTTAAAACTCATGCTCTTTTTTAATTAACAGAAAAACCAATGCCTTCCTTGGGTGGAATTTAAATTTTCATAGTAAATTAAATAACGTGACCAAAATCATTTTTAGAGGTAATTTAAGAAGAGGAAACATTTTAGTTAATTTTAAGAGAAGCTTTAGGTACATGACATTGGCCTATTTACCATAAACCTATTTATTCTAGGTAATAGGGAAGATAGAACATAACAGATATTTTGAGTAATTTGCTCAACATTTCATTAGAGGATAAACTGAGTTCTACTTAGGACAAAGAGAAAGAGATCTACTGATAGTCGCTTTCCTCTCTTGCTTTGACCAGTTCAGCTCTTAGCCTCCAATTTGTATATTCTTCTCAGTAAAACAGAAGTCCTACAGCTCACTGGAGATTATCCATTTTGACTTGAGTGTGCTTTTGGGAAGTATTACTCCCCTCTACCACCATGCCCACTTTAAGAAAGTAATCTGTCCAACATTATATAGTACTCTCTCCAAGGTGAGTTTTGGTAAATTTTTCTTTTATGTTTTCTGTGAACTTTTAGTGGCTCTTATGGATTGGCTAGCCAACTGATGAACTGACTCTGTTTCCATAGAAGATTTGGCTATCTATATGACATTTCACAGTCTTGATTTCCCTTCTCCCTAAGCTTGCTCCTTTCCTAGTCATCCCTGTTCAATAAATCCATTTGTCTCCATCTACTCTGCTACTACCTTAGTCCAAGGAGCCATCACCTTTCTTGCCTGAAATGGTCTCCTATCTGGTCCATTTTACTTCTTACAATCTCTTTTTCTATATAGTAGAGAAAGTGGTATTTAAAAACATAGAATCAGATAGTATTACTCTTCTGCTCAAAACCCTCCTTTCCGTTGGGCATAAAAGCTGAATTAATTGCCACTGCCTACAAATTCCCATGTGATCTGTCCCTTGCTTATCCCTTGTCCTAATCTTTTGCTCTTCTCTCCCTCATTCATTCTGCTCCAGCTGCACTGCCCAGATATATCAAGATTTCTTTTCCAGATATATCAAGCTTGTTCCTGCTTTCATGAGTCTTTACACCAGCTGTTTCCTCTGCCTGGAATGCTCTTTCCAGAACTTTGCATGGTTGGCCCCTTTGTGTTATTCAGTTTTCAGATTTCATTTCCTCCAGAGGTCTTTCCTGATGTTGCAGTGTAAAGTAGCTCCTGTTTTATTGCAGCACTCTGTTTTATTTTCTTCATAGCATTTAGCAATCTTAAACCATCTTGTATATTTGTTGCTCATTTATCATTTCTTCTTCCCTCTCTAGAATTTAAGTACCATGAGACTGTAGCTCTTGTTTGTCTTCTCCATCCTACATTCTGGACACCTAGAACAATGCTCAGTAAATCTTAGCTAAATGCAAAGAAATCAGTGAATGAATCACTCAGATGCAGGTATATACTTTTTAACACCCAGAGGTTGCTAGAAGTAGCTGCTGATGTGGTAAGGGAGCAAGATGAAGTGGCAGGGCACAAAAACACTTTCCCAGTCTTGGATAAAGCATAAAGTAAATAGCTGGCTGCTGTGGCACATGCTTGTAGGCCCAGTTACTCGGGATGCTGGACATGAGGATTGCTTGAGGCAGCGCACTTGGAATAGCCACTGTATTCCAGCCTGTGCAACATAGCAAGATACTATCTCTAAAAAATTTTTTTTTTAGCATATTGACTACCACGCTAGAAAAAAAAATTTTTTCCTTGGGGCCATGGTGTTTTATTATGAAAATAGAATGAAAACTTTGAAAGCAAAATGATTTTTTTCTAATTTAATGAAAAATTTGTTATTTTTTATTATTTTGTGTGCATGAGTTATATGCAATTAAATTGTGAATATTGTAACAATAAGAACATCAACAAGTAAGATTTTCACAAACCGACTGCAGGGTTTTGCCCAGGTGCCACCCATTACGTAACATGTATACTACAGCATGGCAGTGTGAGTTGCTTCCATACCACGTGGCTCCTAAGGTAAAGAGACATGTGAGTTATAATGCTTCACAAAGCCCCAGGTTCAAAACTAGCTTACCTTGAATACAACTCAAATGGCAGTTAATGTATTAAAAGATAAATAATATAAAATATAGCCCAACAGTGAATGTAAACATTCAGAAACAAAACAATTGCACATTGAAGAAGAAGTGAGTTATCAAATAAACTAGAATATGATTGCTCCTGACGATTTCCTGTACTAACTTCAGTCTTTAAGCTAGGTAGATAAATAATTTGATCTCCAATACCCCAAAAGATACTTGATTATGAATGCTATTTTTCATCATTTTAAAGCATTGCAGATTGAATTTAATGGAAGAGAAAAAATTCTTAGTGTCACTTATAGGATCATTACTGTCATTAGATTAAACTTTATTATTTGTAATGGCAGAATTTATGTGTTTTCCGTAAGTCTTTTTATTTTTTAATTTTCATTTATTTATTTATTTACTTTGAGACAGAGTTTTCCTCTGTCAGCCAGGCTGGAGTGCAATGGTATGATCACAGCTTACTGCAGCCTGCAACTCCTGGGCTCACTGCAACTCCTGGGCTCAAGCGATCTTCCTTACTCAGCCTCCTAGAACTACAGGCATGTCTGGCTAATTTTTAAATTTTTTATAGAGATCGATTTTGCTGTGTTGCCTAGCCTGGTCTTGAACTCCTGGCCTCAAGCTATCCTCCTGCCTTGGCCTCCCAAAGTGCTGGGATTGTATGCATGGGCTACTACACCTAATCTTTAAAAATAACTACTGTGCTGTGGGCTAGAAAAGATTATACTGTAAGGGAAATATTTTAGTATCTTTTTAAAAATGTGCCAAACGCATTTTTCATATTGAAAGGAAAAGGTGAAATGTATTCTTAAAACTTATACAAAAATAAAATTATTATTCAATTGGTAGTGCAACTTTGTTGTTTAGTCTAGTTTATAAGCTGGTATTTTTATTGGCCCCTAAAGATAAAGAGGAATAATCAACCTAGTGGTTTATGTTAAATACATCTCAGTTAAAGTTTCTGTCTGGTTCTTTTTCATATTCATAAAGTTTTGGGATAAAGTAATAGTAAATCTAATATGATGTCTGAGTTAGTTTATTTAAAACCAACATTTCTCAAATTTATTTTCATATGACTGTTGCCCTTAAGAGTGGCCATCTAGGGAAGTTATACATTTATTTCAACTATGCTTCCATCATTAAACTACTTTTGTAGGTTCTTTTTCAGAATTGCTTCAGAGCCAGTTTTGGAATCATGAAAGAACATTAGCCTCCTTACTCTACTTTATAAATTAAAAATCTCACTTTAAAAAATCTAAATGAAGACATGTTATTTTCTTAGTTGACTTCATATTAGTATTTTATTAACTTATAAAGCCAATACTGCTGTTATGTAGTCAAAGTTGTGACTTGTAAGATCATAATTTATCTCATACAATAAATCTGTGTAAAGAGCAAAGAATGTTGCATAACTTTGTAAAGTAATAGATTTAACAAAACCAAACAGTTGAGGCATGACTTAACAAAGACACCCCCCACCACTTTTAAATTTGCATTGTATCTCTGAAATTGAATGCAATGCATTGTGCTCTTCTGCAGATGAAAGTTATGGTATGCCAGTTCTAGAGGAAGCACTCTACCTTTGTGGAAGGAAAGAAAACCATCTGATATTAGAAAAAGGCCAAAAGTGGGCTCTTTTTTGTAAATAACAGAGTGAAAGCTAAGAGTCCATATTTAAAATATAATCATAAAACTACTCTTTTACAGTTCTTTGCACAAGACTAGAGACCTATTTTGGATGATATACCTACTTTTAAAAGTCACGATACACTTCTTTGAGAGAAGTAGTTGAAGCACTGTTGGTGTTTGTTGTAGGTTGGTATATAAGTTTTATTGTGAGATAAATGAATTATTTGTTTTAGGGAAAGTCTTACTGTTTGGGCCTCCATGGCCGTTGAAGATTTTTATTTTGTTCTATAAGAAAGTGTTTTATCTATAAGGATCACTTTTTATTTACTTTATTAAATATTATAAATTTGTGGATTTTTTAAAGTTTGTTTTAAAAAAATCTTTTCTTTCTTCTTCTGGTTTTTTAAAGCTGCACATCATTGACTCCTGGACCCAATTGTGACCGATTTAAACTGCACATACCATATGCTGGAGAGACATTAAAATGTAAGTAAATGATGATAATTTTACTCAAAATATAAATTATAGTGTTAATTATTAGACTTTATACTTTAGTTTTTATTTCTGGCTCTTAGTTGTTATCTCCTAAGATATTGATCACTAACATTTACTACTTTTCTTATCTGTCATTCAATCCTAGTTCTATTAAAAGTAAGGCAATTGGCAGGGAATAAGTGGTGGTCAAATAGGCATGCATACAACTTCTTCATCTTTAGTCATATACAGTAATTCTTGTATATGTTTTCGTTAGAGGCAGTTCTTATTTGATACTCTAATAAAGAGAATTCACTGCTTGAGAAACAATTTTTACATAGGAATGACTATGTCTACTACTACTGCTATGTAAGCCCCTTCTGGAACCACTGTTGCTGAGAACCATTGTCACTGGTGTATTTCCGATTGCCACCTCAGTGTAAGAGTCCTACCTCAAAGACTCTTGGCATGGAGTGTCAACATGTTATTTCTTTTATAGCAAGGGGCAGAAATGCAAATGTCCTACAAGAGCCAGACTGGTAACATAAATGAGAGAAGCATGCTACTCGTGACAAATTGGGATACCCCATTTGAGTATCTGCCTCTACTGATTTATGGAGAGAAGGTGGAAGTCTGAATTTTTATATGAATCCTGTCAGTTTTAGATGTTGGCTGCTTTTTCAAAAGTAAAAACATGGTGTTGGCAACCATTATACAGTCTAAACCACATGTGTTTGTGGGCTGGCTGGAACTGCTGTATCACAGGTTTGTGACTTCAGATGGAGACCAATGTAAGGCCTACCATTGACCTTAGTCCACCATCTACAGCAGCTGTCTAAGCTGCATCAGCCTTTCTCTGCCACAATCACCAGTACTGAAGCTCTAGCTTAAGTGTGCAAATAACAATAGCTTTGATTGGTTAGTATTTGTAATCTCACCAGGAATGTTCTCTCTTGAACCTGTACTTGTGGGGAACAGGGTATTAAAGTCTCTGTTTTTAAAAAGAGGAATAAAGAACATGGGTAGTAAAGATATAACAGGTGAGTAAATAGTGCCTTTTGGACTATGGACTGTGTGTCTTCACCATTACATGCTAGGAGGGGCCACATCGCAGGACAATATTCTGAGTTCTCAGTACTATATTCTATAGAATCACTTTATGTTAATTTATCAAATACAACATTAAATGAGAAATTTAGGGCATGGTGACTTGTCAACTTTGCATTATTAGACCATTTTCTGGAAACTATTAAAATATAAAAGAATTACACCTGTCTGAGGTAGTAGAACAGATTAGATTGCTACCTTTTTTTTTAAAAAAATTATTAACTAAATTTAAAAGAAGTGATCAAAGTAGATCATTCACGTGGTTAAAAATGTAATCAGTACTGAAATTTTTTAATATATGAAAACAGTAGTCTTCTGTCCCATTTCTCCCCCTTTCTAGTCCTGTTTCCTCAGGGAATCACTTACAAATTTTAATTGTTTCAGTTTAGTTCTTCTGGGGATGATCTCTATATAATAATAATAAAATACTTTTGTCTGTTTCTTGACTTATCGATTTTAGACATTGTTATCTTTGACTTCCAACTCTGATACATGAGACATTAGGCTATTTTCACTGTACCCCTTTTCTCTCTCTCTTATTCCTCTTTAATGATATCACCATTATTGGTTCTTATGTTGGTTACCATGTAGCTTAAAAAATTTACTTTTTCTTTTTTAAGGATCACTTTAAGCATTGTGTTATACAGTTAAATGAAAAGCTCCTAAAAATTCTTAGTAATAGCAAGAATTAGCACTCTTATTACTTAAGGATGCTCTCTATACAGTTATAATGAACACTTAGTATGGTATGCTTTTATTTAGTTCCCCATTAACCATAGATAGTATCTTTTGGCTCTGTACTTTATAAGGTGAAGATATTAGCCCTTGCCCTTCCTTCCATTGCTCTTCCTTCATCTCCCAAATTTTGTCTTCTGTTATTTTCCTTTTGCATTTTTAATATTAAAATCTTGAAATCTATCTGTTCTAAATCTATATTTGTCTTCTGTGCTTTGTCTATAAATTGCTTGAATGATTGATCTGTGGGCTACATAATTATCACATACATAATTATCACAGTGGGATTTACCTTTGCTATTCTCTTGGATTTGATCTTGTTTTATAGAATCAGTGTGTTATAGATTATATGTTTTGTATAATTATTCCTTGATAAACACGCTATCCCTACTTATCTTGCTGGAACCTGGTCTCAAATAACTAGCATAGATTCCATTCTTCTCTCCACCCTTCTGCCTTTCCTGTATCCTTCCTGATATTTTTCTTTATTGTCATGGTCACAATTTGGTATCTGAATTTTCCTTGCTCCCTCTTCCAACTTAGTTGATAAAGCAGCAGCAGAGTTTAAGAGGATTGACTTCATTTTTGAAAGAAAATTTTACTGTGGGCAAAATGCCATCAAACAGCATCTCATACTATAGAGAAATCTTTCCTGCAGCAATCAATGCAGCAAACTTTCTTGTGGTCTTATTTTAAGAAATTGCCACAGCCACCCCAGCCTTCAACAACCACCACCCTGATCAGTCAGCAGCCATCAACATCAAGTGAAGACCCTCCACCAGCGAATAGATTACAACTTGCTAAAGGCTCAGATGATTGTTAGCATTTTTTAGCAATAAGGTATTTTTAATTAAGGTATATACATTGATATTTTTAGACATAATGCTATTGTACACTGAATAGATTATAGTATAGTATAAACATAACTTTTATATGTATTGGGAAAGCAGAAACTCATGTGACTTGCTTTATTGTGATATTCACTTTATCACGGTGATCTGGAACTAATCCTGCAATATCTCTGACATGTACCTGTACTTTAAATCATAGCTAGGTTCTTATAATACTTATTACAATGTAAATGCTATGTAAATAGTTGTTATTAATGTATTGTATTGCTTAGGGAATAATGATAAGAAAAAAGTCTAAAAAAAAAAAAGAAAAAAGTCTGTGCATATTCAGCACAGATGCAATTTTTTTGAATATTTTCTGTCAGTGATTCGTTAAATCTCAGATGCTAAACCAGTGAGTATGGAGAGCTAATTGTAGCCATTCTTTTTTTTTTTTTCTTAAATTTCAGAATATTATGGGGGAACAAACATTTTGGCTATCAAATAACCCCATTAAAAAGTGGGCAAAGGACATGAACAGAAACTTTGCAAAAGATGACAAAATAATGACCAGCCATTCTTTTTTAAATTTTTTATTTATTACTTTTTTTTCCAATTGTAGCCATTCTAACTAGAATGATACCTCATTGTGGTTTTGATTTCCCTGATGATTAGTGATGTTGAACATTTTTTCATATACCTGTAGGCCATTTATACATCTTCTTTTGAGAGGAAGATAGGTCTGTTTAGGTCTTTTGTCCATTTTTAAATCAAATCATTATTTTTTTCTATTGATTTGAGTTCTTTTTTTTTTCTTTTTTTGAGACAGAGTCTCACTTTGTTGCCCAGGCTAGAGTGAGTGCCGTGGCGTCAGCCTGGCTCACAGCAACCTCAATCTCCTGGGCTCAGCGATCCTACTGCCTCAGCCTCCCGAGTAGCTGGGACTACAGGCATGCGCCACCATGCCCGGCTAATTTTTTGTATATATATTTTTAGTTGGTCAATTAATTTATTTCTATTTTTGGTAGAGACGGGGTCTCGCTCAGGCTAGTTTCGAACTCCTGACCTTGAGCAATCCGCCCGCCTCGGCCTCCCAAAGTGCTAGGATTACAGGCGTGAGCCACCACGCCCGGCCGATTTGAGTTCTTTATATATTCTGGATATTAACCTCTTGGCAGATATGTAGTTTGCAAATATTTTCTCCTACTCTGTAGGTTGTATCTTCACTGTTGATTGTTCCCTTTGCTATTCAGAAGCTTTTTAGTTTGATGTAATCTCATTTGCCTCTTTTTGCTTTTGTTGCCTATGCTTTTGAGAGCTTATCCAAAAAATTCTTGCTCAGACCAATGTCATGAATTGTTTTCCCTATGTTTTCTTTAAGTAGTTTCATAGTTTCTGGACTTACATTTAAGTCTTCAATCCATTTTGACTTGATTTTCATATATGTTGAAAGCTAGGGGTCTAGTGTTATTCCTCTGCATGTGAATATCCAATTTTCCAAGCACCATTTATTTATTTTTTGTTTTTATTTTTTTAAATTTATTATTTTTTATTATTATTTCAATAGATTTAGGGGGTACAAGTATTTTTTGTTACATATATGAATTGGATAGTGGTGAAGTCAGGGCTTTTACTGTACTTTTATCAGAATAGTGTATATTGTACCCAACAGGTAATTTTTAATTCCTCACCCCCCTTCTACCCTCCTCTTTCCTTAGTTTCCCATGTCCATTATTCCACTTTATGTCCATATATATCCATCATTTAGCTCCCACTTGTGAGAACATATGGTACTTATTTTTCCATTCCTAAATTCCTGAGATACTATAGTTAGGATAATGGTCTCCAGTTCTATCCAGGTTGCTACAAAATTCATTATTCATACCTTTTTATGGCTGAGTAGTATTCCATGTTGTGTGTGTGTATGTGTGTATGTTTGTGTGTATATAGATATATTTATACACATGTATATATATAAATATTTTCTTTATCTACTCATTGGTTGATGGACATTTAGGTTGATTCCATATCTTTGCAGTTGTGAATTGTGTTGTAATAAACATTCAGGTGATTGTTTCTTTTTGATTTAATGACTTCTTTTCCTTTGGATAGGTACCTAGTAGTGGGATTGCCAAATTGAATGGTAGGTCTAATTTTAGTTCATTGAAGAATCTCTCTACTGTTTTTCATAGAGGTTGTACCAATTTACATTCCCATCAACAGTGTATAAGTGTTCTGTTTTCACTACATATGTGCAACATCTGTTGGTTTTTGACTTATTAATAATGGCCATTCTGACAGGGTTAGGTGATTTCTCATTGTGGTTTTAATTTGCATTTC